TAAAATTAAAAGTGCAGTCCTTCAGTCTCACTAGCACATTTCAAGTACTCAGTAGTCACATGTGACTAGTTACTATAGTATTGGACAGCACAGAGAATATTTTCATCATTACAGAAAGTTCTATTGAACAGTATTGTTCTAAGTGGAAGAATTTGAGAAATAAAGTTCTTTCTTTGATTTCTGTGTTCTTCATCCCCACATAATTTACTGGATAAATGCAGTGGTTTTAAGGTTTTTATGTGCAAAAGAATCACCTGTGGAACTTATTTAAATTGGAGATTTTAGACCTCTCTCAAGAGTCTGATTCCTCAGGTCTACAATAGTAACCAGGAAATCTGTATTTATAACAAGTAGCCTAGGGAATTCTCATGGTAGGTGATTGAGGGACTACATTTTGGAAAATATTAAATTAGTGAGAAAGTTGGGAACTGCCTATCTCTTGATTTGCCCCTCTTCGTTTCTTCATTACTGACTTTCTTTTGTGTCCCCAGTAATTGGTTTTAAGCATCATGTGTACCCAAGTTGTACTCTCAATTGGTAGTAAGTAGCAAAAAGAAATTTCATTTATTTACCATTTAATCTTTTCAATGTATTTGTGTTTTGATTTGGCTGTACCTTAAGAAAAGCAAACAAAAATGGTTATTTCAGTACTGTTCCAGATTGTGTGGGAGGGTAATTCTGAGAATACTTTTGACCTCTAACAGTTGAGCACTCACAAGTCTTGAAATTATACAGGAGTAAAAACAGAAATATGATGCATGATCTTCTCTCTGAAGGAGATTACAGCAGCCCTCCCATCCTCAGGCAATACATCACAGGACCCCCAGTAGATACCACAGATGGTACCAAACCCTATAAATACTATGGTTTTTTTCCTACATATACATACCTATGACAAAATTTAATTTATAGGCTGAGTGCAGTGGCTCACACCGGTAATCCCAGCACTTCGAAGGCTGAGTTGGGAGGACTGCTTGAGGCCAGGAGTCCAGAACCAGCCTCGGCAACATAATGAGACCCCATCTCTTAAAAAAAATTTAATTTATAAATTAGGCACTTAGAGCCTAGGAGTTTGAGATTGCAGTAAGTTATGATGACACCACTGCATTCTAGCTGGGGTAACAGAGCAAGACTTTATCTCTAAATAAATAAATAAATAAGGCACAG